CCATGTACTAACGCTATTTGTCTACTAGATGTACTGATGTATTATCAGGTGCTAAGTCAATGTACTAACGCTATTTGTCTACTAGATGTACTAATGTATTATCAGGTGCTGAGTCCATTTACTAACGCCATTTGTCTACTAGATGTACTGATGTATTATCAGGTGTTATGTCCATGTACTAACGCTATTTGTCTACTAGATGTACCAATGTAGTTTCAGGTGCTATGTGCATGTACTAACGCCATTTGTCTACTAGATGTACTGATGTATTATCAGGTGTTAAGTCCATGTACTGACGCTATTTGTCTACTAGATGTACTAATGTAGTTTCCAGGTGTTATGTCCATGTACTGACGCTATTTGTCTACTAAATGTACTGATGCATTATCATGTGCTAAGCCCGTGTACTAACCCTATTTGTCTACTAGATGTACTAATGAATTATCAGGTGCTAAGTCAATGTACTAACGCTATTTGTCTACTAGATGTACTAATGTATTATTAGGTGTTATGTGCATTTACTAACGCTATTTGTCTACTAGATGTACTGATGTATTATCAGGCGTAAATTGTCAACGTACTGACGCTATTTGTCTACTAGATGTACTAATGTATTATCAGGTGTTAAGTCAATGTACTAACGCTATTTGTCTACTAGAGGTACTAATGTATTTTCAGGTGTTAAGCCCGTGTACTAACGCTATTTGTCTACTAGATGTACTGATGTATTATCAGGTGCTAAGTCAGTGTACTAACGCTATTTGTCTACTAGATGTACTAGTGTATTATTAGGTGTTATGTGCATTTACTAACGCTATTTGTCTACTAAATGTACTGATGTATTATCAGTTGTTAAGTCCATGTACTAACGCTATTTGTCTACTATTGGTGTACTAGAGATACAATACGACGATTAGTTGCGCTATTGGTCGGATACTTCGTAATCGAAATGCGTAGTACATTGCAGTCATAATTCTTAACACACGCTCTCATAACGATTCAAAAGACACCTAAGATTGAACAAGCAGACTTATGCAAATAGCCTCCTCCTGACGAGCAAAGGAACACGGATGTAAGCGATACGCCACTCTTCCTTGTTTGAACTGATGATTCAAGCTGATCTCATCGCGTCAAACATGACATTACATGTCATAAACAACTTGTCTCGCAGGTTTTTAAACTTTTCAAAATAAACGTAGTTGTTCTTTCAATGTGTAAGGCGACACATAGACGGCAACACGTGATCCGGAATATTGAGTCTGTGTGAGACGGGTGTCTGAGGTTTGATAATACATTCCATTAACTACCAAGGCCAATTCAATTTCTCTATTCAGAATAAAGGCGGCGAACGGTCAACATGACACAAATTAGTCATGAATCGATATACGAGAACCAACATTGAAGGAATAATATATTGACGTCTACTTCCGGGTTGTACATTACGCGCCCCTCTCATTGGTTGAAATGGGAGAGAATTGTGCACTGTTGCCTAAAAGGTCGATTTAAGTTAATTAAAGGTCGAAATGAGTAGTTTTAATGACCAGGTTTCATTTATAACGATGCCAATAAATTATTTATGTATTTGTACCCCCGTAGAGTATATGTGATCTTTAACGGCTGGGGTGCTTGGCACTGGTGCCGTCAAGGATACAACGTTGTACCGTTTCAATTTTGCTGGGGCGTGATCTGTGCCATCGATAGCCCAGCCATCTAACAATTAGCTGTGCCTTACTGTGTGCATTAGACGTATCAGACGTTATGGTCGGGGTTCGAATCCCACGTTAATATACTCTTCAAAAAAAGAAAATTGACATAGGACAAATTTGAATATTTGACACAAACCAATCCATGCTGAATCCCAGCATGTTGGGGAATGGTTGCCGACGACAAAACGTTTGAAAAAAGAAACGTTTAACAAAACGTAATGTTGCACTCACGTCTGTAGTGAATCGCTAAAACGCACCCTACATGAAATGCACGTGCATCATGAAATTCTGTATCACCCTGAGCTGAAGCATATGACTGTAGGCTTATAAAAGCCACATCAATGGTACTCCACATGCATTGCTTTAAGCCACTATAGACGACAAGAGAATGAAAAGACTGACAGACCCAAGGCCATCGGCCGTTTACAAGGACGGACATCGCAGCATGATGTGGCAAGGCACTACAGCGTGTCCAGACAGACCATCTCAAACCTATGGACCCGATACAGCAATGCTGGGAGTGTTAATGACAGACCCAGGTTAGGTCGACCTGGAGTTACCACCGCCGCCCAGGTTGGCTACATCCGGTTGAGACATTTTCGTTGAAACACCACGGCCGCATCATCCACAACAATCCAAATCCCTTGACTGCTCCGAATCTCCGACCAGACAGTGCGCAATTGGCTATGGAAAACCAGACTTTTTGCCAGAAGACCAGTTCAACGTCACGTCGTTCCCTACATCAACGTGATCTTTGGAGCATGACAATGCTCGACCACACGCTGCACATGTTTGACATGCCTTCTTCCAGCAAAACAATGTTCAGTTTTTACCTTGGTCTTCTCGATCACCAGATTTGTCCCCCATTGAACATCCATGGGGTATTCTTGATCGCCGCTTGCGCCAGCGTAATCCGCCACCTCAGACACTACAAGAACTGCACACAGCACTTCAGCAAGTGTATCAAAACATTCCTCAAGACAGCATTCGGCATCTCCTTTCTTCTATGGGTCACCGTTGCCAAGCTGTTATCGATGCTCATGGTGCTCATTATGACATTTTACTCTGACCAATTGGCTTTAATAACCCTCTGTGGTTTTACCGAACACTTTCTGGATAATCGTGTTTTGGAACTTTGTAAAGAGGTGATTCTACTGTAACTGAGCAATGATGTCAGTTATATTTTATAGTAAACTCTAAAACAGCATGTCAAGTTTCTTTTTGAAGAGTATATTTCAAAGATTACACCAGGACTTATTTTCGGGAATGTCGTAACGTCTGCATCCCTGTCGTATTTCCTTTCATTGAACTGATATGTTGACATATAGCTGAAACTTTGTCCAAACACACGTCTTCACACATTCAATTAAATGTGTACATTAAATCCGTTGTGATTCCGTGACCCTCAGAATTGGTCTTCAGCAACCCATCCTTATCGTAGGAGGCGACTAACGGATCAGAGTCGCTACTTGGTTGACACACGTCATCGTATCCCAATTGTGTAGATCGATGCTCATGATGTTGATCACTGTGTTGTCTGAGCCAGAGTAGATTATTTACAGACCGACGCTAAATAGCTGGAATGTTGATGAGTGCGGCGTTAAACAACAACCAAATCAAAAAACAAAACAAACCTTTCAATAAGCTGATATATACATAACAGTCATATAACAGTATCTTTGTCCAAACACACGTCTCAACACACTCAATTACATCTATACATTTAATCCCGCAGCTGTCATTCCGTGACCCTTCGTGACAACGTGTGACCCTTCGTGACTACGTGTGACCCTTCGTGACAATGTGTGACCCAGCTGACTGTATCATGGTACAGGTTTGTGTACTAGTTCACCAAAGGACATCATGATTTCGAAATCAATTGACCGATTTATTTTGACTTGATAATATCACCGTTAGCAATAAAACGTAAACTGACGTAAGAAAGAATGGACACCTCTGGAAATAAATTTTGGAAAGTTTGTTGCCCCCCCCAAAAAAACCCCCAACAAACACACCAACAAAACAAACAACAAAACAAACAAAAACAAACAAACAAACAAACAAAAAACAACAACAAAAAGCAAAAAAACAAAACAAACCCAACAAGTAAGCAAAAAACAAGCCGAAATACAAACAAAAAACTAACGAACAGAAAACATAACATAAATAAATAAACAACTAAAACAACAAAACCAACAACAGCAACAAAAACAAATAAAACCAACAACAACCATGCATACAAACAAAACACGCAAAACAAACAAACAAGTAACAAATCCAATACATGTTGTTTACATGATGCAGGGGTAAACTTGCTTTTTGCTTTTGAGACCTATTCTACCCCGGATCTTCATGGGTCTCTAGCAATATAAAGGTGGGGACACCACATATAGGCTTCACACATTGTACCCATGTGGTGAATCTTCGGCGTGACGAGCGAACGCTTTGACCGCTAGGCTATCCCACCGCCCTTGGAGTCAGGGGAGTCGAATGGCGTATTTTGTGACGTCTCTGTAAATTCTCCCCACCGCTCAAAATATTCTTGGGATACACGATACGAGTATAATAAAGCGACACCCTTTCCATATCCATAAGAAATCTCTGCTAAAAGCACTCACGAGATTGCAGGAATCTGAACTGCAAGTGCTTATGAATCATCAGCAGTTGCTCTCGAAAGGTGACCCTATCCTGCCACACGGCGCAACCGTCACAAACACATGCAAAGTCTAGTCAATTGTTCACATGAAAAATCAGGGAACGTCTGGTACAAGTCAAAAGGGGCATTGCATCGGCGATATTGTTTGACACAGGTACGGCAAATTTTCAAGTGTCCTCCACATGTCTACCATTAAACGTTTTGAAAACTTTATTAAGGCCTTAAGTGCTGGAACCTTGATCGAACAACTTCTAAACAAACGTCGTATGATGCTCTTTGAAATCGTAGTGAAAAGAGCTTGTTCCATTATACAATAAAAAAGGCTGGACCTAAAGGGTTATTACACATGACGGGAGAGCCGACTCTTGAGAAGTAGATATTTTTGTCAGTTTTCAACTCGCTTTGTTAGTAACCGACACCAAGGAAACAAACAAACACCGTGACTAACGCTGGTTTAGTACGAGTTACCTTGTCCCACAATTTTCTAGAGATTTTGAGTGGGTTATTTGATCTTCATCATGACGCTACCGAGGGTGACAGGTGCGTTTCAGTAGATTGATACCCGGATTTGGGAGGCGATACCACGGGGTACACGCCCATGTAGGGAGTGAGTGACACTGAGTGGTCGTGATATATAACGTGACATTTTGATGCACCACCACACTTACCAAGAGACAGGTAGCAGGTGACTTCGTCAAACAACTGCAACTTCGGGCACGACAGACTCTTCTCAGTAGGTAGGTGTTAACACATTCTACATTGTGTTGCATAAAAATATTTTTTCTAAAATGATCTCAAGCTAGTGTAGTATATTTTTTTGTCATAATATAGTTATACTGTCCTTCGATGACGAGTTTCAAAGAAAGTATAACTATATTCGTTAACAGCCAACTTCGTCAAAAACTGCGGCTTCGGGGACAACAGACTCTTCTCAATAGAGTAGGTGTTAACACATGTTGTATAGGGGACAAATCAGGATGTAATAAATGCTATCAGACATCTAAAATATAACAAACCCCAGGCGATGATGGTATTCCCGCACAGTTTTTCAAAGTTTCTGAACATATAATAGTTCCCTATTTAGTATTACTGTTCAAGAAGATACTCTCATCCGGCTCTTGGCCAAATTCCTGGTCAACTGACATTATTATCCCACTACATAAGAAAGGTAGTAGATCTGACCCGAATAATTATAGGGGATCTCTCTGAATGTAATGAGCAAAATGTTTGTTTCGATTCTAAACAAAAGATTGGAGTACTTTTTGCAACTTCGTGAGATAATTGGAGAATATCAGGGTGGATTTAAGACAGACCATTCGACTGTGGACAGTATCTTATTCTCCAGACAATCATTCAGAAGTATTTAACACATAAGAATGGGAAGATACTAGGGCAATACAAAGAAACTGTGCATACAAAATTTAAAATCTAAATTGATCAAACCTGTGTAGACACATAAGGATTCAAACTCAGAGATTAGTGACATGTATCCAACATGCATGCACGTGCCACGTTCCGTGACGTCAGTGGGTTCGTCCTTGAGACGTGCAATACGTTGTTGCACGTGCATTCCGGGAAAGGGAAACAGAGCAAATGAATGCCACACAATACTGTCACTTTGGAAAGCTCAACTCCTGCCCTTGCGATCGTTCAAAAAAAATTTAAACGGCTATTGAAACGCATAGCATGCCAAGGCTCACGTCTGCACAACGTCATCGACAAGCTCGCCGAATGTGGTGCCGAAATCATGTCCGCAGACCCTTGTTTTGGTGGAGAAATGTTGTTTTTACAGATGAGTCCAGGTTTAACATTTCCCATAGTGATGGACGTCAACGTGCCTATAGACGCGTGGGAGAACGTTATGCACAGGCCTGTGTTTTGGATAGGAATCGCTTTGGTGGTGGTTCCGTGATGATTTGGGGTGGAATAACAGCACGCCAAAGAACTCCTTTGGTGATTGTTCAGGGCAACTTAACTGGTGTGGGCTACAGGGATCAGATTCTTCGACCTGTGGCAATTCCTTTTCTGCAACGTCATGGCCCTGGGCTAACATTCCAACAGGACAATGCCCGCCCTCATACGACAAGGGTTGCTATGGATTTCTTGCAACACCACAACGTTGACTTTCTGTCCTGGCCCGCAAATTCATCGGATCTCTCCCCGATAGAGCATGTTTGGGACGAGATGGATCGACGTCTACGCCGTCTTCCTCATCCGCCAGATAACGTCCTTGACCTTGCAACAGAACTTGAGAGAATCTGGCGTGACATCCCACAAGCCTTCCTTGCACGTTTGATAGGCTCTATGCGTCGTCGATGCACTGCTGTTCTCAATGCCGATGGTTGACATACCCGTTATTGAGCTGTGACATGGTCGTTTGACCCCTGACCCGCTTGTGGACTCGTGATTGTGATTGACTTTTCAAATGGAATTCTCCCGACTTGTTATGGTCTCATGATCCCTCCTTTAAAGTTTACATGTACCTTTGACATGGTTATCGTACTTATCAACTGGGATAATATTTTGACAATGCACAGTTTCTTTGTGTGGCTAGTATATATTGCATTCATAGATTTTCGCAAGGCCTTTGACATGGTGAATAGGTTAAATTGCTGTATGTTCTTTTGCAAAATGGGATCCATGGACAAATTTTCAAGTTGATTAAAAATATGTATACTAATGTCAAGGCCACTGTAACCTATGTATTGGTAAGAAATTAACTGAATATTTTGATAGCGCCTGTGGGGTTCGGCAAGGCTGTGTCCTTAGTCGGTATTATTTTCTTTATATATTAATGAGTTTGTATTGACCTTAGAAAATAAGTTTGATGATGGTATATTTATATCCGAAAATATGTTGAATATTATTGCTCTGTTATTTGCAGATGATTTGGTTTTGATAGCTGATACTGTTGTTAGATTACAGCGCCGCCTTGACGCCCTACATATGTATTCCCATAAATGGGGCATGGATATTAATACTGATAAGAGTAAAATAATTGTTTTAAAATGGGTGGACCCTTGTCCAAACACGAAAAATGGTTCTATAATGGCATTCGAATGGAAACTGTCAATAGTTATAAATATCTAGGACTTATGATAACTCCCAAATTGATTTGGACTAGGGCATGTAAATCATTATCTGATCAAGCTTAATAAGGCACTGTGACCGATCAAGTCATTTATAAGACGATATGATATGTCACTCTCAGAAGGATTATATATTTTTGATACAAAGATTGTACCAATTCTAACATATTGTGCTGATATATGGGGTTTTAAAAGACAGAAAGTATTGAAATTGTCCATCGAAAACTTTGCAAATTTTTACTTCAGATTAGTTACAGATCATCTAATGCTGTTGCATATGGGGTATGTGGGAGGGCACCCTTAAGCAATGTTTATTATGTCGAATGTATTAAATACTGGCTAAGATTATTAAGAATGCATCAAAGTAGATATCCATATCAATGTTATCAATTTTATTATCTGTTGAATTCAGGAAACGTTACACATGGGCTCGGCATGTCAGTGATTTGTTATTTCATCTTGGCTTTGGTACTGCTTGGATTTCACAAGATGTCGGTGATACAAAAATGTTTCTATATATGTTTACTGAAAGAATTAACAACTGCTCTATGCAAGAGTGGCATTTGTCCCTAGATGTTCCTTCGCTGTCTTTCTATAAGTCCCATAAATCTCTGTTGACCTGTGAAAATATTTATCATTGAACATAAGTAATAAGTGCAAGCGTATGTTCACATTATTTCGATCAGGTGTAATGGACTAGGTATCAAATATATTGGAAGAGGTACTGCCTCCTGCAATGATGATATTGTGTAATGTAAACACTGTAAAAGTATTGAGGATGAAATCCATATTGTCTATAGTTGTAAACGCTATGAGGATATGCGTCGGCGTTACATTCCGAAACGGTCCATGGATATTATTATTCACTCCGCAGCATATGTACATCATCCGACAATAACATCATAAATAATTTTGTCAGTTCTTAGAACATGTTGATTCTGCTCCTGTTAGCGTTGTTGTATGGAAATGGTAACCAAAATCACTATTGTACCACCTTGTACGATGGGTCGTATGGCCTTTATACAAAATAAACCCTTCTTCTTCTTCTTAAATGCATTCTATATTGTGTTATGGTATAGTAATTTGATATTTCAAATGATCTGAAGCTAGTGTAGTATATTTTGTCATAATATAGTTGTTTTACTGTCCTTCAATGACAGGTTTCAAGAAAGTATAACTGTATTCGTTGACAGCCAACTTCGTCGAATAACTACAACCGCGGGCACTACAGACTCTTCTCAATAGGACGGTAGGTGTTACCACAAACTTGGGTATCTAGATTGTGTAACTTGCTCACCTACTCCAATGTTTCACTATATAGGGCCTGTAAATCTCGCTAGGCGCTACTTCCGGTACTAAGCTGGTTCCTGGCTCCCTTTGCGCGCGCGAATTTGCGATATGCGGGACGGGGCCAGCTTACTTCCGGATACCAGATTTCCGGTGACAAGCGTATATCGGAGAACCAGTTCTGGTTCCAAATTGCGCGACCCCAAATACTCTACTAGACCGGACCAAGAGTGTACAACCATGCCTGGCTGTCACAGCTGTTGACAGTCGTAATAGTTGACTAATTTGGGGATGGTTAGATCAGGAATTTGTTATTCCTGCAAGGATTATCGGTTCCTTATTGTCAACTGACAATCATGCGACCATTTGAAAAGGTATGAAACGTCGTTTGTCACCAGAAGTACTAAGGTTTCGCGAAGTGCCGTAACCTACTTTCGGTCCCCTATACAAGCATTAATAATGGTCGCCAGTATGTTGGCTTAATTGTGGTTGATGGCGATCCGATAGCCCAATTCTATACTGTGTTGAATAATAATTTAGCATTTTAAAACGTATCAAATATTTTTTGTCATATCATAGTTGTTATTCTGTCCTTCGACGACAGATTTCTATAAAGAAGAACTGTGACTTTCTGTCGTCATGACTTTCTGTCGTCAGGACATGGCTGAAATGTTGCCAATGTGACGGAAAAGCTCTCAGTCACTCAATGAACAGCAGTCTCATACAGAAATACATACAATTTGCATATGGCACAGATTTATAACGTTCGGCTTCTTGAAAATCCCGAGTTGTGGTCTATCAATTTCTAATAACTGTAGAGTCACTGGCTTGTGTTTGACTGTTTGAAGATTGCTGGTAAATTGTTTTCAGCCCACATCTGACAAGATTAGGGTGGTCTTACTGCACTGATCCTCAAAGGTTTATGTACACTTGTACGATATGGACTGTTTTCGTCTCACATTCATCAGAGATACTATATGAATTTAGAGAGAAACATCACTGGATACGTCATTCGACTCACGGACGCAAACGCGTTTTGTTTTCAGTCTCATCATGAATGTGGACAGAGTGAACTGGTTCGCGGTGATTGTCCTCGCTCTCGGTGTTCACGCAGTGTCTGGCCAGAGTAAGACTGAAATATACTTTCATTACATCATCCTCATCGATTTCAATTTAAAAATTTGTACGGTGTTGTCTGGTCCAGACTTGATTACAAACATAATACCGTCATAAAGGGAGGTTTACTTTACGTGGCGTTAAGCCAGCTAAGAAATATTGCAGAAGTCGATTTTCGAATCAGGGGCTTTTCAAATTCATTTATCTGGGTCGCATTGCCTGCCACTTGTGATTGTGTATTAAAATCGGAAAACTTTGGAGCCTTGGGCTCAGTAAAAGTCCAAACAAGCTCTTATGTTTGGTCATTTGTCCCTTGTTGATGCGTTTATTCATCTGGAAGCTGCATGTTACCATACATGATTTTACCAAATTTGAGTATTCGAAGGCCTAACGGGAAAAGAATAAACAATGTCGATTTGACCACTTAAAACTTATAAAACGTTTAAAATGAAAATTGAACTAATGTTTGGAAACCCTTTGAACACATACTTCTGTTTCAGACTGCGCGCACCTGTTGGATGTCGTAGCCGTTGTAGATGGCTCTGACAGCATCTTAGATGACGAATTTATCCTTCTGAAGGATTCCCTTATTCAGTTGACAAACTGGCTGAACCTTGGAGAGGAAGGTCAAAATGTTTGGTGCCGTGGTGTGTACAGTTCGTCTGTATCTGACGTAGCACACCTCAGCACCAACCGGTCCCAGCTGCAGACCGAGATAAACCAGTTTGAACACCCCCAGGAAGGGACAAGCACGCACCTTGGAATCGCCAAAATGACCGAGATTATGAGGAATGAGAGTCGTCCTGGCGTTCCCAAAGTAGGCATCGTCATCACCGACGGACGGTCACGTTATCCCGAGAGAACTGCTCAGGAAGCTACAGCTGCTAAGGCGATCGGCATTGAGATGTTTGTAATTGGAATCGGTTCAAGTATCAGAATATCAGAACTGAGAGACATTGCCTCATCTAACGCCAATGTCAAAAATATCAGCGCTTTTAGTGAACTCAACAATATTACCCTCAGTCTGGTACAGAAGGTCTGCAAAGGTAGAAACAAACATAATGGAGATAATAAAACATAAGGGAAATAAAACATAAGGGGAGGAATGAAACATAAGAGAGAATAAAACATAAGGGAGGAATGAAACATAAGGGAGAGAATAAACATACGGGAGGAATGAAACATAAGGGAGAGAATAAACATACTGGAGGAATGAAACATAAGGGAAATAAAAACATAAGGGAGGAGGAAACATAAGGGAGGGAATAAAACATAAAGGGAGGAATGAAACATAAGAGAGAGAATAAAACATAAGGGAGGGAATAAACATAAAGGGGAAATAAATAAAAAGTAAAGGGGAGGAATGAAACATAAGGGAGAAAAGAAAACATAAGGGAGGAATGAAACATAAGAGAGAGAATAAAACATAAGGAGGGAATAAACATAAGGGAAATAAATAAAAACGTAAGGGAGGAATGAAACATAAGGGGAGGGAATAAAACATAAGGGAGAAATGAAACATAAAAGAATAACACATAAGGGAGGGAATAAAACATAAAGGGAAATAAATAAAACGTAAGGGAGGAATGAAACATAAGGGAGGGAATAAAACATAAGGGGAGAAATGAAACATAAAAGAATAACACATAAGGGAGGAATAAAACATAAAGGGAAATAAATAAAACGCAAGGGGGAGGAATGAAACATAGGAGATAGAATAAAACCCTAAGGGAGGAATGAAACTTAAGGGAGAGAATAAAACATAAGGGAGGGAATAAAACATAAAGGGGAAATAAATAAAGACATAAGGGAGGAATGAAACATAAGAGATAAAATAAAACATCAGGGAGAATGAAACATAAGAGAGAATAAAACATAAGGGAAGGAATAAAACATAAAGGGATGAATAAAACATAAGCGAGAGAATAAAACATACAGGAGGGAATAAAACATAAAAGGAAATAAATGAAAGCAGTAAGGGAGAGAATAAAACATAAGGAAGGAGATGAAACATAGGAGAGAATAAAACATAAGGGAGGGAATAAAACATAAGGGGAAATGAATAAAACGTAAAGGGAGGAATGAAACATAAGAGAGAGAAAAAACGTAAGGGAGGGAAAAAAACATAAGGGAGGGAATAAACACAAAGGGAGGAATGAAACATAAGGGAGGAATAAAACGTAAAGGGAGGAAATGAAACATAAGAGAGAATAAAACATAAGGGGAGAGAATAAAACATAAGGGAAAGGAATAAAACATAAAGGGAGGAATGAAACATAAGAGATAGAATAAAACAAAAGCGAAATAAATAAAACGTAAGGGAAGAATGAAACATAAGAGAGAGATAAAACATAAGGGAGGGAATAAAACATAAAGGGAAATAGAAAAAAAACATAAAGGGAGGAATGAAACATAAGAGATAGAATAAAACATAAAGGAAATAAATAAAACATAAGGGAGAATGGAAACATAAGAGAGAGAATAAAAACATAAGGGAGGGAATAAAACATAAGGGATGAATAAAACATAAGGGAGAGAATAAAACATAAGGGAAATATATAAAATGTAAGGGAGGAATGAAACATGAGAGAGAGATTAAAACATAAGGAAGGGAATACAATGTAAGGTAGATATATGTAAATGTATTTATTAAGTGTATATATCTACTCCGTCATCATCTAATGACATTCTCTCCCGACCACTTCTAAATGTCGTTCAAGTTTTTAAAAATTGATTATTTACATGCCGCTGTCATGTTGGCTGGAACCCGTGAAGATCTGGGTTAGAATTGGTCTTGAACAACCCATGCTGTCGTGAGGCGCGATTTACTGGATCAGGAGTTTAGACACATAAATAAAAGAAATAAAACAAAAGGGAGTAAATAGAACGAAGGGGGAGATAATAAAACACTAGGGACATTATGAAAAATGGAAGTAGGGAATAAAACATAAGGGAGGTAATAAAACATAGGGAGAGAATAAAACATAAGAGGATACTGTCCATGTTTCAAGTGAACAGTATTACATTGTTTTGTATATATTTTCAATAAACGTAATGCAAAATGTTCCAATATCTATGTTGCAGTCATGAGACATGGCAATTGTCTTTGGCGTTGAGGTTTTGTGTTGAACCATGTCAATCTGATATTGAGCTTACTCTTAAATTAGAAATGTACATTTGCCTTTTTCAAATTTCAAAAAGAAGCTAGTGAAAAAACGAAAGTATATTTTTTCAGAAAAAGAGCTATGGGAATTGATAGAGACCATGGCTGAAACTAAATTAAACCTTTAACTTGTGTACTCTTGTGGATATAAACATATATTCATCAATCTGGATTAAAATGTCACACATCTTTTCTAAATGTATATATGGATTTGAACATATTTGTGTTTATGCTTCCTTGATATCTGTATCATCTGTTCTTATGGCAACAGTTGACGGAAACTGGACCGAGTGGACGGACACTACCGGTGTGTGTTCTGTATCCTGTGGAGGAGGCTCTAGAACCATCAACAGAACCAGGACCTGCACCAACCCAGCACCCAGCAACGGCGGACGGGACTGTGTAGGATCACCTTCAGATCGATACACAGAGGTTTGCAACACCAATGGCTGCCCAGGTTTGTCATAGTCGTATATCAAAACATTTGCTGTTGGCAGTATAAAACTTAGAAAGTTAATACTGAAAATAACCCCCCAAAGATATCATCCATAGATGTAAAACGTAGAAAAGGTGTTTGTTAGAGATACATACACATTATATACAGGTACAATTAATTACATGCACATATACATTCTGACTTAGCTGTTCTTTTTACACAAAGTTGACGGAAACTGGACTGAATGGACGGTTACTGAGGGAGTGTGTTCAGCATCTTGTGGAGGAGGCTCCAGAACCATCTCCAGGAGCAGGACCTGCACCAACCCTTCTCCTAGCAACGGTGGAGAGACCTGTGTAGGATCACTTACAGATCGATACACAGAGATCTGCAACGCCAATCGATGTCCAGGTACGTTTAGCGAGATGCTAAAAGTGTTAACGCCGTAGATGCTAGTCTTTGAGAAACAATATTCCAGGTACACTAGCATATGTCTATATGACAGACAATATGTACTTGTAGTACGTGTAAAATAACATACCACAAAATAATACAAATCGCTACAAAGGTATTACAGAAACAGTACAAAGAGAAATCTCTGTACAAATTCAGAGGCAATATGATACCCCCAAAAAGAAATGATTTTATAAGATGGTAATAGTCACCTCATTGCAACAATGGTGAAGTTTCCAAAATAGGCCCAGGCTGAGTGTCAAGGGTCAGTATAATCTCCACACAATTGTGATCTTGTAACTTGAGATATAATGTGAGATGATAGGCAAGGGTTGGCTCTCCTTATACCCCAAAGAAAGAAGACTTCAGAACATTCTCCCACTGCCTGCGTCACTATAAAGGAAAGGCCCATAGGGCTGTTGTGCGTGTAGTACCTTCCAGAACTCTGTCTCAGTATACACAAGTCTAAATATATCACACCGCCGTCCACTATTGTACAATTTCATAGTCTCTGCCACTCAAAAATATGTCCCAAACTTCATTATATTTTACACAAAACGAAGTAATGAACATAAATATGCATCTTTGTTTGACAGTTTCAGCTGAATTCATCATGGTGTTTCTCAACAGCTAACAGATTACACAAGTTTGATCATGTCTAGTTCGCTTATCATCGATTATTTCTAGTTGATGGGGGCTGGTCAAACTGGATCATTACCACAAGCGACTGTTCAGCATCTTGTGGAGGTGGATATAGACGTGTCACAAGTACTAGAACCTGCACCAGTCCTGCTCCAAGAGACGGCGGTGCTGACTGTGTAGGCTCCTCCACAGACACATACGCAGAAACCTGCAACACAGAAGGATGCAATGGTAAAAATCTTAGTCTATTCCCACCTTGGAGGCATAGACATACATGCATAGACTAAAATGTCACTTATTTCAGATTTTGTACAAGACTCGTTCTGTTATGGAGGCAAAATTGTTTGTGAATTACAGGTTAACGTGATACCATCACTTTGCGGCCACGAGTTGGGTGAGGGGTTTCGATCAGTACCTGGTGCACTGCCGTTCATCCCAACAGAAGTAAAACATTATTTGTATTGTTTTAGATCCATGCAGTGGTTGCCGGTATGTCAACGGTATTGGGTACATCCCTGACCCCAGCGACTGCTCCCCCGGTTTATTCAGTGCCAAGAACCCAGACCCGGCAATACTGCTATTTTCCATAGAATGCAATGTAGTCCTGGACTGTACTGGAACCAACAACATCTGGTGTGTGATTGGCCAGCAAACGTCATCTGCACAGTGGAAGCTGAAGGTAGGGGGTTGCTCTCTACCCTCATAGTATAACAGTGAGTGAGTGAGTGAGTTTGGTTTTACGCCGCTTTCAGCAATATTCCAGTAATATCACGGTTGGGGACACCAGGAATGGGCTTCACACATTGTACCCATGTGGGGAATCGAACCCGTGTCTTCGGCGTGACAAGCGAACTTGTAACCACTAGGTTACCCCCCACCGCCCCATAGTATAACAAGGTACGCCGACTCAATATGTTTCTTCAAGTACCTCAGTGTCTGTTAGGATCATACGTACCAAATACAAGAATATTAGTAATATAATATATATCATTATGATTTATTATGAGTTGTTCATTCGACATTACCATGGGTTAAAGTTTAGGACCTGGGAAGTTGTTAACTGTAAAGTACAGTAATCGTACTTTACTTCTACCGGATGATGGGGCCAGAACAAGCCCTGAAACGTTGTACCAAACAATAAAATGAAGGTGAAACCCAGAAAAGTCTCTATGTTCATCAAATAGCATCTTCTAAAATGCCAACCAAACACCGTCACAAACAGCATGTCAATTGTTCACTTGACACAACACTGGGGTTTATGGTTCAAAGTAAGGAATTGCGTGGGCCATAATATTGGACATGTACAAAGGCTTTTTGTTTCGCAAACCAAAGAAGTATTTCTTTCCATCACAGAGGAAGCATTTGCTCCATCGACTGCAGCACCATCAACAGCTGCTCCGCTGACACCCCTTCCCTCGTCGTTGTGCGACGGCTCCAAGAAGGCAAAGCCAGGAAATACAGCTCAGTATCAGGAACTGATACATGGAAACTGGATCACCAGATTCTGTGCTCCAGGAACTGTGTACTCTACGACCAGTTGTAGCTGCATCACCGGTCAGAATGCCGCGTCCCCAGGTATGTCTGCATCGCTTCTCATTGGGGTCATTTGCTACTTTCCTACACATAGACAAACATGGTGCTGCAAGTCTTACAGTAAATACATAATTTACTTAAAGGCACAATTTCACACATTTTCGACAAAACTTTGGCCTATATTATATATACATGCACTCAACTGTCGCACGCGTTGTTGTCGATGTTGCCGATCTGGTTTCAGTCACAAGTTGTGCGTAGGATATTCGTGAAGAGCGCTCCAAGGGACATAACTCTGTGGGGTTCGCTTGAAATAATGTTCAGCCGATACAGGGAACGAGATTCGATTTAATGCAACGTTTCGTTAATTCATTCGAACTTTAAAATTTAATATTGTAATATAAATACGTATTTTTAAAATAAATTATATGGTAGCTTCCTGAGGGCTGATAGTTAGTATTATTGAGAGAAATGCATTATTATTTTTGTAGTGGGACATTGTGCCTTTAACGTGTTATCCTCACAACTGTCATTATATTAACGAAATATGTTACACATGCATCAAACTATGGAAGTATTGTCTGATGTGGATGCAAAACAAAACAAAATGAATTTCATTTTAGTTTGCCAGGCGGAGGTTTACCTTCCTTTCAACAGTGACGTGAACGACCATTCGACTAACCACCACTATGTACAAAACACTGGCGTTGTAACTACCAACAGTGGCCACGGCGTCTTCAGCAACAACACCCAACTCCGGATCCTCCGGTTCTCCAACATGCATTTCAGGAAGACTCTGATCATCTCATTTTCTTTCAAACGCACTCAGGCTACAAGCAGAGCTCAGGCTATCGTCACCAACGATGACTGCGGGCATGGTGGCAGCATCTACATCACCACTCAGCGGTCAATAGTGCAGTTTCGTGTTGTCAATAGCAACAACGTTACGCATACTTTAAATGTATCGTACATAGTGAGTATAAAAACGTTTATCATACACTCCATCATATCGTGTTCATAAAGGAATGATACCTGCACCCTGCCATAATGTTGTGAATATTTGGCCAAGGTCTATAGCCTGGCATCCTACGAATTTGTTTGTGGTCGTTGCTAGCCTATCTTGGGTTGTTGTGAGGGATGGGGGGACCTAGGTGGGGCTGGGGTTTAAGTTGCCCATGGCGTCTCAGTCCGAATTCGATTTGTCAAGGGTCACCTGTGAAGCACACTTCTAGTTTCCTGGCCTTACTGCAACATTGGTGCATGTCCAATGTCACCTGAGAAGCACACTTCTAGTTTCCTGGCCTTACTGCAACATTGGTGCATGTCCAATGTCACCTGTGAAGCACACTTCTAGTTTCCTGGCCTTACTGCAACATTTGGTGCATGTCCAATGTCACATGAGAAGCACACTTCTAGTTTCCTGGCCTTACTGCAACATTTGGTGCATGTCCAATGTCACCTGTGAAGCACACTTCTAGTTTCCTGGCCTTACTGCAACATTTGGTGCATGTCCAATGTCACCTGTGAAGCACACTTCTAGTTTCCTGGCCTTACTGCAACATTTGGTGCATGTCCAATGTCACCTGTGAAGCACACTTCTAGTTTCCTGGCCTTACTGCAACATTGGTGCATGTCCAATGTCACCTGAGAAGCTGACATGTAGCTGAGCGGCTACTCCTGCCATCACATGCCTATATATCTCATTGAAAGTCGTTAGTCACTCTGAACTCCGTAAACAAAATGGACTATCGATATAGCCAATGGGTAGTTACGAATTGATATTATCCGTTTCGAATTGTGTTTTCATACTGAAGCCGTCGTCTTGGTAGCTGGGTGTTTTTCATGTCTTAGTCATCCTTGCCATTATCCTTATCCTTTGTGGGGGGTACGTTTCAGGCCACCACGTCCTTGAATGAGGTGAAGCTGATCGTCAAGGATGGACTGATGAAGGTTGAAGTCAATAACCGCAGATTACAGAGGACATTTGATGGTACGAACATTTGGAGTGGATCGTCCTTCAGAATAATCCCTTTATCAAAATACTCTCTAACATAGTATGAGGCACATCGCTGAACCTCTTTCTACTAACATGTGCTCTGAATGTAAACATGGGACCCCTGATCACCATTGTTAACTGCTGCGGTGTTAACAATATGTTTATTGATATTAACATTCCTGACAACTGAGTAAGTGAGTTAAAATTTTACATCGCATCGGCAATATTACAGCCATATAGCGATCATGACAATTGAACATTGTGCAGTACCCTCGTGGTATTACCAACTCCCCGAGAAATATACAACATAATAGGCGCTCACATGTGAAAAGATACTCATTTGAAGCATTAATTCTATTTTGTACAAAGGTAAACGTCTCAATAAGGTAATTCTTTCCGTGAAGTGCCCATTCTTAATCTAGCCGTTGTCAGTTAGGTCTAGGATCAACAGGAACCGTCTATCTGATTGTTCGAGAAAACATCGATTACATAGAAAAATATTATTTATCATTTCTTGAATATTTTGCAGGAAACATCGGGAAAAGCCAGTGTGCACTGCAGGTCGGGTACGGTGATGGCATGGACTTCTTCCACGGCGTCCTGGAAGAAGTATGTCGTTTACCTGTTCCTCATTATACATTTGTAGTGATCTCTTCAGGTGTAAGATTTAATACATGATATTTAGCTTTTATTTGCTTAGCCAAAACATAAATCGATGTTATCGGCGTGAGCTGACGTATTAGAATTAACGCTTCTAAACAGATCACTTAGATCGACCGTGTATTATGGGAGAAAACACAAAGTGACACTATCTGATAAACCAAACAAACGAGGACGAACATTAATAAATAATAATAATAGCCATCTTAAACGCGCCTTTTCCACAAATTGTACATGCTCAAAACACATTATTACCCCCTTGATAGCCAAGCTGCCTGTTAGGCGCTAGAAGGTTATTAGTCACATGACTTGTCCCACCGGGTACCCACTTTCTACTGGTGAACAGAGGCAGTTTTGAACAAACTCGCTTGCCTAAGGTGGGACCACATGATCCACATGTGCTTCGTTGTGGGGCAGGACACAAGTCCTAGAAACTCTCTGGAGTCAAGCTGCCAAACACAGTCACCGATTCAAGGACTGTCCCAAGCTCAACGTTGTTTAATTTTAACTGATTTGTGACCTGAGCTCTATGCACATGACCACACGCCAAGTAGTGCATCTTGCTTTTTATGTTTCAGTTCAAAGTATACATCTGCAACCCAGAGAGCCTGTAGTTGAACATAGTGTTTCATCAAGACCTACCAAGAAGTCAAAATGCCGTTTTTAAAATCAACTCGCAGTATTAAACAGTATGGCGCATTGTTTTGTTTCTGTCATATTTGGTATGCATATAGCTTGAAGAACCCATTGTAGCTTAACGAGATACATACAACGTTATGTCCTTTGAGAGTATAATTATACTTATTTTAAAACAAAAAATTCGCTTTCCGTTTCAAGTTAGCCCGAGCAGTATGTTTTCGATAGGACAAGACACTGTGAGACAAGACACTGTAGCTCGCCTGAATTGAAAGTTCAAGAGAGCATGACATTCTGAATGTATGGTGTATACCAGTCTTTTGAAATCCCTTCAAACACCAATGTGTAGATCTTTAATGAGTCGAATTTCCGGTTGTCTCGAAGTAAAAGTTTGATCTCTACTTAATCCTTCTTTGGTCATAATTTACGGCTGTATCGAACTTCGTATAACTCGAAACATTTACAGGTCTACAGTCAACCGCCAATGTGTGGATCTTTAATGTGCCTGTCTCAAAAATACAAGCTTTGCCCCTGCTTGTTTAATGTTTTAGTTATCATTTTGCAGTTTTGTCGAAGCTCTGATAACTCGAAGCAATCTTCGACACAATGGTGTTTGACTGTATTTGCACCATGCATGACTGTACACAGTTAAATTTGCTTAAGAAAGGACATATGTGTTGCTGAAGGGTTTCGAGAATATTGCGGTAATTTAACTTCCGTGAAGAGTCTTGTCAGCTTCAACGTTATATATGATGAACTTCCCATCAATATAATCACACTCAATTATAGTAATAATCATGACATACGGTTGACTCATTGTTGTTTTCAAATTAGATGAAACAGAATTTCGATAAAACTGCATTTTTGATCACTGACGATAAGTCATTGATTTCACTAAAAAAAAGAAACACAAAAGGTGATTTATATAACTGCTACTGATGTCAACTGCCTAGTGACAGCTGCTCTGAGCCTTAAACATGTTTGCGTAAAATAAAATGCTGCTTCTTTAAGTTATGAATGAATAAAATCTTTACGCACGTGTTCGTTTTTTTTATCACTTTAATTTTTATTCATTTGTAATTCTTGAAAGTAGGAAGAGTCTATTTCCTCAGTTTACTTTTAGAAATCACTTTGGTGCCTACATGTTTGTTGGTGAGGCCGTTTTTCGTTCTTTTGCATAACCACCGTCAGCATATGTTTTTAAATTCAACATTTGTAGTTTTACTCATATTTTAAAAATGTGGACCCACTCACAATAGTATCTACAGAGAAAAAGATGTGGGCCCACATTTCTGTTTCACTTTAATATCTACAGTTTGGTTGCTCATGTCGTATGTAGAAAACGCTTTATATGCTTTTTAAAGGATAATGAAATTGCCCACCTTTCCTGTCGCAAATATTGGTGACTTCAACATGATGCTCTTGGATTCAGTAATATTCGACTAGAGTAGGCCCACATCCGACACCCTCTAACAACCAGCTAGTAAGTGACAAACACGTCTAACAGTCGTGTAGCAAATTGTTGCTAGTCATATAGATGGAATGACTCGCTAGATTATATAGTTTTAGTGATGATTTGACTGATGGAGGACGCAGTTTATCGTTTTCTCAGCGTCATGCTTTTCTGGATACGAAACTAATCAGCATACCTCCAGTCTGTATCTTGGGTTAGCTCCCTTAGCAACTCGAACCACTGATAATGCGGATTCGCCCATATTTTTTGTGCCTTGTAGCTCACCTGACCGGTTCTGGAATACCATACTGTCTAAACACCCCAAACATTGCACGCGGATCATATTCTCTGAAAACCCTAAAATTGCACGTGGATCATACTCGGCGAACACCTGAAACATTGCACGTGACCCATACTCTCCGAAACACGAAACATTGCACGTGGATCTTACTCTCCAAACACCTGAAATATTGCACGTGGATCTCACTCTCCAAAAACCCGAAACACTGCACGTGGCTTATACTCTCCAGAAACACTGCACGTGGTTTATATACTCTACAAACACCTGAAACATTGCACGTGGATCATACTCTCCAAAACCCGAAACACTGCACGTGGCTTATACTCTCGAAACACTGCACGTGGTTTTATACTCTACAAACACCTGAAACATTGCACGTGGATCATACTCTCCGAAACCCGAAACACTGCACGTGGATCATACTCTCCAAAACCCGAAACACTGCACGTGGATCTCACTCCAAAACCCGAAAACACTGCGTGGCTCATACTCTCCGAAACACTGCACGTGGCTCATACTCTCCAGAAACCCGAAACACTGCACGTGGCTCATAATATCCGAAACCATAAACACTGCACGTGGATCATACACTCCAAACATCTGGAAACATCGCACGTGGATCATACTCTCGAACGCCTTAAACAATTCACGTGGATCATACTCTACAAACACCTGAAACATCGCACGTGGATCATGCTCCCGAACACCTGAAACAATGCACGTGGATCATACTCTCCAAACACCCAAAACACTGCACGTGGATCATACTCTCCTAGACCCGAAACATAACACGTGCATCACACACTCCAAACACCGGAAATATTGCACGTGGTTCATATTCTCCGTACACCCGACAATTGCACGTGGATATAACTCGGCGAACACCTGAAACATTGCACGTGGCTCATACTCTCCCAACACCTGAATTCTTGCACGTGGATCATACTCTCTGGACACCTTAAACATTGTACGTGTATCACACTCTACAAACACCCGAAACATAACACGTGGATCATACTCTCCAAAAACCTGAAACATTGCACGTGGATCATGTTCTCCAAAACCTGAAACATTGCACGTGGACCCTACTCTACAGTAACCTAAAACGAGGATCGTACTATCCAAAAAAAACACCTTATTGTGTGTGTGTGTGTGCGTGCGCGCGCGCGCGCGTGTGTGTTTGTGTGGTTGGTTACATTGTGTTATCATTGCATATCCCCTGGCGTGCTTTCTTCCATGTGAAGTTTAAAGTGTCTGTAGTAATGCACTTATACGCACTTACAACATTGTATTGGTGTGTGGCAAGCCTGAACAGTGTCGCGCAGACAAACATACAACACCAGGGGGAGGATAAGGGTTGAGTCTGTAGTATTTAGATACTGGGGTATGTGTGAATTTGTGACAAACAAGAACATTAGAGTTATTGATTGACAGAAAATAGACTTGCATGTATTGAGTGTTTGAGCAAGACATGTCGGTACATGGTTGTGTGATACCTGCAGGTGTCGGGGGAGACGTTACCTGGACTGTAAGTATTAATTTTACTTTTGGTTCAGTGCAGCAGAGGCGGGCCATACAGTAACTCCTTTGATGGAAAGGTCGTACACTTATCAATCTGAGTGAATTCAATTTGTGAATAACACTGTTATAAAGACAATTATGAGGTACTTGAGAGATATACAAACGAATCATCAACATGATCAGTTACAAAGAGATTTTTATGAATCTGAATGAGAAATTGGTCGTATATGGTTTACACATACATTTCAATGAATCAAATATATTTACACACTTCAGTTGATGACTGTTTATAACATTCACGAAATCAAAAGACCCAAACACAATGTATCTCTTCATTATGTCGGCTTTCATAATGTTAGTCAGTATCACGGTATCAGGAGTTTTCGACGATGTAAGACAAAAACGTAATTTTTATCTGTAATATCATTTGAAGTTTTAATTTTACTAACTTTGGGTGATAAAGGATATATTCATCTATTTCACACAAAAATATCAAGTGTTTCCTACAAAAATAAGGTTGATGACATTGTATCGGCGAAACTGTTGCCGTTCGCCACATCCGTGGATTTTTTATGGGTTTTCGACGATGAGCCATACATTTCGCTCCGCACTGCGAGGGAGTGTTGTTATAACGTGGCTTTCTATTTAAATATTGCCTGTCACCAGCAGACGAATGATCTTACTGAATTTTCGCTTGCTATTTTTTGTTATAAAGGCAATTGATTTTGCATCTGAAGTGGTATCAACGATCTCGGGTAAATAATATTGATGTTTGTTTGCTTTTTAAATAACTTAACTTCCGGTTTTCAATTGTCACTACAACTTCTCACGACAGTGACTGGGCATCCGCCCTGCCGATGAAACTACTTGTGCTCACCGATCGCGCACGTACTCCCCCGATATAGCGCCAGCAACGCAATCATCGAAAACACCAGAACGTCGAATTCAGCTCGCTTTGGGATACAACATTCCAGATTACACATGTTGTTCCCAGGTATGAGATCTGCAGCATATGGGGAGCTTATTCTTGTCATACTGGCGAGCATGTATTACGTGTGGGTGAGCTGTGAAGTGCACATGGTATTATCTGATTTGAGAAATGCGATCTTTCTTGCACTTCTATAAGTCCTGATATTACTGCATTGTAATGGAAACAGCTTCGGCGTTAATCGTACACAGGTTATGAAAAGATACCGGCTTATTGGCTGCAGGGGAAATTGCGTACTTCTATAGGCTGCACGGACAGCCCGGCAAAGTCACATTTGAGAAAAAACAGGCTGAACTTCGTGTGGCGTTCCCGTCAAAGGACACGGATGAACAACAGAGGAATGTGACTTTGGCGCGTAAAAACGGAACACAAAAAAGGTGATTTATATAACTGCTACTGATGTCAACTGCTTAGTGACAGCTGCTCTGAGCCTTAAAACATGTTTGGGTAAAATAAAATGCTGCTTCTTTAAGTTATGAATGAATAAAATCTTTACGCACGTGTTCGTTTTTTTTTATCACTTTAATTTTTACTCATTTGTAATTCTTGAAAGTAGGAAGAGTATATTTCCTCAGTCTAATTTTAGAAATTACTTTGATGCCTGCATGTTTGTTGGTGAGGCCGTTTTTCGTTCTTTTGCATAACTAGCGTCAGCATATGTTTTAAATTCAACATTTGTAGTTTTACTCATATTTTAAAAATGTGGGCCCACTCACAAAGTATCTACAGAGAAAAAGATGTGGGCCCACATTTCTGTTTCCATTTAATATCTACAGTTTGGTTGCTCATATCGTATGTAG